ACCTGGTCTTATTCCCATACCTTTTTCAGGAATCTCCATGTAAATCTTTCTTTTGTTAACATTTTGCCCCAGTTTTTAATTAATTTGAATTTGAATTATGATTCTGTTGGCATGTTGGATATTTTTTATTATCATTATTCTGTATTACGAATTTATTTTCACTCTCTCAGACAAAAAAAAAAGTAAATTTGTCATCATAAACAGACGGGTAACGGAGCAGGAAGTCACACAACACGGATACTTTGTCCAGCAAGACTTGATCAGCAGTTACGGAAACATATACATGTATATGTAAACAGATCCGGATATTGAACAATAAGGTAAGCTCATTAAATTGGAGGTAAAACAGCTCAAAACTCCGAACCTCTCAAGCGGTCCACGTAATTTTATGTCGCCTGCCAAAGGGGTTATTTCGCGATAACTTGAGTTCACTTTGGCCAATCAAGCTGAAACTTCATACAGAGCCTTCTAACCAAAAGTGCTGGATTGGGTTTACTTATGAGGTTTGAAGGTCAAAGTTCAAGGTCACTGTTACTATAAATAGAAAATTGTTGTTTTCATGATGACTTGAGTACGCTCTGGCCGATTTGTACAGTGCTTCTTTACCAAAGTGCTTCCTTGGGATTGCTTTTGAGGTTTGAAGGTCAAAGATCGAGGGCAGTATTACCATATATAGGAAAAGGATTTTCAAGCGAAATCTTGAGTTCTCTTTTGACAATTACACTTAACCTTCATGCAGTGCTTCTTAACCAAAGTGGCTTGTTCGAGACTACCGGATTTGGAGCAAATCAAATTACAGAAATGGAATAAATACAATGAATATCTGTGGCTATTTTTCCATAAACTCATCTCCAAAAGCCTTGCTGGCCAGGCAATATATCCAATTCTTTGGAATTCTTATTATCATGAATACTTAAAATGCATATATCTGTACACAACCCTCGGGTTGGGAATTTCTACCAAGCCCCTTTAGTAGGTAGATACGACATCATCCATCCTCCTATCTAATGAGTATGGGATTGATGGGAAACCTAAAACAATGGTTTCCGTAAATAGAAATGAATATTCTAAAATTGTTCCCTGTAGCTAAATTGCAAATGTATGATGTATAAAATGTTGCAATATTCTTATATCCTGTAATGTTGGTTCAGAAATTTGTGTTTTATATTTTGAAAATTTTTAATCTTGTGCTTTGGAATCAAAATCTTTGACACCACGTGAAAAATCACTACATCACCTGTTTTACAATATAAAACACTATTAATAATTCAGATTGCAAGTTTTACGATATAATCATCAGATTTTTTCAAATATACATCACAAAATTAACAACTTTAAATATCATATTTTGATTATGAAACACAAACTTCAGGATATAACTTACAAGATATTGAACATAAATCACAAAATTTCAAAGTACATTTGAATTCTCAAAGTTTTACATTAGAAACAAATGTACATGTTTCATGCAATAGTTGATTGATTTGTTTGTTAGAAGTTTTCCACCTTCACTACTACCTATCCAACGGCAATGTCACACCTACAAATGTAAGTGTTCTGGTAAAGTGTGAAAAATAATAGTAAAACATGTCGATGTCATAATATTTCTTTATACAGAAAAAAGAATAAGACTTTTGTGAGTGGAATGTTCACCCATCCTCTCCCCAAGTAACTGTTTTATATCATACAATGATATTTCTCCATCACATCAGTAATATAAAAATATTATAACATTTACAAATTACATTTTTCATACAATTTTGATTTTTGCCGTAAAATAGTTTTTAACTTAATAATTATAACTAAACCAAATATCAATAACAGGTATATTTAGGTCAGTAATTACCTCATAACGAACTGAGGTCATATCTACACATACATTATACAACATAAGTGTAGTAATAAGGGTCATAGGTCATACTTTGACCACTTCTAGAATGAAACTTCTGTCTACACTATAAATAACTTCTTATATATATATTTTCATGGCCTTAACGTCACCTGAGGTCTTCAGGTCTTTGGACGGTTTTTATTTTTTCGTAGTCTAAAGGCTTGATTTTCAAATGGAACTGATAACTGTAGTTCATATTTGACCCCTGTGACATGAATAAAAATTTGAACAAACATGACAGACCTTCAAAATGTGTCAAAGTCAATGATATAGACAACCTTGGTAGCACATCATCCAAGTATGCTACAGATTCAGTATCAGCATCCTGTACTTTTTGTTTATTGAGAAGAAGTGATATAAGGATTTTAATATATTTGACACCTATAAGCTTGAAAGCGGGTCAAAATCATTCATTTCAACAAACTTGGTAGCCCTTCATCCCACCTTTTGATTAGTGAGTATCCCCTTTATCCAACCTTTTGGTTAGTGAGAAGAAGTAGTTTTAAATATTTTGACAAATTTAAAACCTGTGACTTTAAAAGTGGGTCAAGGTCAACAATATAAACAAACTTGGTAACCCTTTGTGCCAGCATACTACAAGCTAAATATCAGCACTCTCGGTCTTTTGGTATTTACATACTTGACACCTGTGACCTTGAAAGTATGTCAAGGTCAATAATATGAACAAATTTGGTTGCCCTTCATCCCAGCATGCTACAGGCCCAATAACAACACTCTGGGCCTTTCTGTTGTTAAGAGGAATTAGAAAATGCCAATTGTTTACAACGGACAGAAGACACCAGACAAATGGCAATCACAATACATTGTAGGTCATTTGAGGCTTATTTACAAATAGAACCACCTTAGATCAACCATAGATAAAAGAATGTTCTATTTGCTTCCTGCTTTCTTTTTAGATTCAACACATTGTATATTGGCATCAATATTTGCCATTTTTAAATAGGTCAAAAAGATATTTTAATATCACATTGTACATAATAACACATATATCACAGCTATTTAATAATGATTAAAAGAAATCTTTCACTAAATTGTGACCACTCTTAAAACTTAAAAGAAATACACAGAGTTGATATTTCACACATACAACATGAATTGCAATATAAATGTAAATTTAAAATGAATATATCCTGTGAATTCATATGCAATAAATGTATTTTATATATAGATGCGTTTCTGTCAATAAAATATATAAGAAATCTTATAAATGACTTCAGAGATGAAATTACCAAATACATGCCCCGTACATTTCAAAGTGTAGTCAACAGACTTCTTAGGTATTATTTCAAATCATGCGGGGGTTGTGGTATAGCAAGTCAATCTAGATTATGCTGCTGAATTCACAGGTAAAATATTCCATGATTTTATAAAGATCACACAAAATATTACCAACAAACATGATAAGATATGGGTGTGGATTAATGTATCTCGATAAATATGGCACACCATTAGGTAACTAATATCAACAGTTAATAACATTGGAAAATACATAATACCTTACATAATGCCTTGTAGTGATATATTTACAATATCATATGGCACTTTGACGCAAGCAGGTCAGTAATACAGTAACAAACGCTGGTGTTTAAATCACAAAAAGTTCATTTAAATTTATCTGGAGCACAAAACGTCATTTAAATATAGATATATGTAAATGGCACATCTCAAATGGCTTATGAGAAAAGAGATTCCTAAGTTTTTGATTGCACAGTTAAAAACTTGTAAAGGAAAAATAAAATCCTGTACATAATAAATATTTGAATTTAAAATATTCAAAATGACATAACAAATGTAAAAATGATGCTCTTACCTCATTATCAGATTAAATTATGAAAACAAGAGTTCAATTTAAAGATCATAATTTAAAAAGCACAGCATTTGATAGTTAAAGAACTGATTGTTATTACTAGATTTTTTTCAATTTTTAAAAATTATCAGTTTCATTTACAAACATTTCAATCATGGTTATTATTATTCTATCTAATCTTATTTTTTACCAATTCAATTTCTAATAAAACAAAATAAATATTTGAATTTCAATCAAGTATTGCTTGAACTACTCACAGTAAGAGTATCAAATACATGTGTTTATACTGGTAACATTTTGTTTTCATTTCAGACACGTGCAATTTACTGCAACCCGTTTTATTACATGCCAAAGAAGAAGTAAACAAGCACTTAATGAACTTGTTTCATGCTGAAGCAACATAAATAAAAGTATGCAATCATGAATATCTCCGGTCAGTTTATATCTTAAATAGAAAGACACTTTCAACAAGTTTAATGTAACATTTTAAACAATAGGATGGATACCAATACAAAAATACCTCATACTATGCATGGCACTATTAATTAACAGAAATTTTTTTTTAGTTTAAATTAAAACAATGTGCAATATAAAAATATATGAAAAATAACATTGCAACAAGATATATGACACTTCCGAGACGTTACATTCAATTATTAAAAGTTTAATCAATTTACTAAATTCATGTAAATAAGTATAATTGTATACATAAACAAACATTGAAAACTGAAATATTGGCCCGTATTCTGACAGCAATACAAGCATTTACAGAAAGTCTACATAATAAAGAATATCTTCATAAATAAAATTAAATAAAATCTCATTCATCAACAATTTAACTCAGAAACCAAAATACAAGAATGTAATTGGATGGAAATGTTAACGTCTTTTCGTTCTTTTTTATTGATACATTATTATATTCTACACTAGTGAACAGAATGTACTCTACAAAAAGTACACGTTACGGTGATAGAGTAGGCACATTCTGCACAATGTTTACAATTCTGATGTATTTTACTTCATTTATAAATCAATGTTTGACAGACAAATGATTAAAATTAAACACTTTATTGGAAAGTTCTCAAATTGGCAAATTCTTAACTCTATTTCACGATATTAATATTTAATCTATTTCAGTTAAAGCTTAAGTGTGATAAACCATCAAAATAAAGTAAATCTCATTTGCTGCTAATGGTCAAAAACCTGGGAATGTAATGCACTGAATTTGCTCAATAGGAAAGTATTCAAAACATAACTTAGGTCTTTTTGTGTTCAACAAAACTAAAGAAGCACACAGGAGGACGATTTTTCATTGGTTCGCCCTGCTTGTGTTGGGGCAGCCTGGTTCGGTGTATTCTGCATGTGTTGTTGCGGTTGTCCATACATCTGCTGTGGTACATTTGGCTGCACTTGCATATGCCCGTACGGTTGCTGTTGAGCATATGGTTGAACGTTTTGTTGCGGTTGTGTATGTCCGTATAATTGTTGTTGCTGATTGTATGGTTGCCTGTGGTATTGTGCTTGCTGATTGGCTGCTGGTGGAGCTGACATGTGTGCTTGAGCAGGATTTGGTTGGACAAACTGGGGATGTTGTGTATATGGTGGAGGCTGTGCTGTTGATTGTGCAGTAGGTGAATGCTCCAAATTTTGATTTTGTGGAGGTGGTGGAGGTGGTGGAGGTGGTGGTGCATGCTCTTTACCTGCATTTGGTGTACTGTTTGTTTCAGCTTGAGTAGCTGTTTGTGGTGTGGCTGTATTGTTTTGTTCTGTTTTCTTATCAGAAGTTTCTTTTGTCATATTTTTCTGCATTTCCTCACTACAGCCAGTTGCATTAGGCACATGTTCTATTATCTTGGTCAGGAGCTCATCAAATTTATCTCCTGTCCAATTCATCTGGATTTTCTCATCACGGTAGAAATTAATGAACAGAAGCTGTGTAAAGACCATGCTCATAGGTCCACTTGGTGGCCAGTCCATCTTTTCCAAAAGAAGAGGGATGACAGGCTTCTTTAATGAATCAGCCAGACTGACTTCTCGTCTACAATTGGCAGAGACTGCGTACTTGGTGGTCACACAGCTTAGGACAATCTTACAACCTCGGACACCTCGGTCAATCTTGTCATACAGAGAGTCACCACCTCCCATCTGGTAGATGTCCATCCAGCAGGTCAAACCAAGCTCACAAAGCCTCTTGTAGAGCTGTTTGATCTGTGTCTGTTTACCCCACTGGTAAGACAGGAATACATCTGGGGACTTACTGGTCTCCTCCTTTAATGTAAAGACATCAGATATGTTAAAGAAACTGTTTAAAATCCATACCCAACGAATATTGATAAAACAGAAGAAGACAAAGTATGGCATAGCATCATCTGTATTTCTGTTGTTATGAAAAGGAAAACGCAGAAAAAAGTTACTTCCCCAATAGCAAAAGTTGAATCTAATGTACAAGCCTGATAGTACTTGTTAAGTATGGAAGAAGATACCAACAAGTTAACAAAACTGTCACTCAAACCCAATATCAATAAATGGGGACAAAACATGAACAAAAAAATGATTCATGCAAATTTTCAAGAAAAAGTACAAAGATATTAAGACCACATGTTCCAGAAGGGAATGTTGCTTCTGTTCCATCAACAGCACTCATGTATATTTTGGTCAGATTAATTCAGTAAAGTGTCACAATTTTCCACAGGCAAACCCATCCCGGGCAAACCCACCCTGAATTATGGTTTTTCACAGAGAATAAGATGTATAAGGTCACAGTGACTATCCTTCCATATTCAAGTATAGATTCATAAGAATACTAATTCCTTTCAGCAACGCTAACATTAATATGCATTATACTCAGTGAAACTTTTTATGTACCTTGTTACCAGTCGAGTCTGCTGTATTCTGTCCTCCAGTTTTAGTTTTTTTCTTGGTGATGACAATTTCCTCTGCGACAGGAACCCACCAGTTTTTGTACTCTGTATAATTGGTAAATGAAATAATATTAGGTTTGCTACTGTGCACTAATAAAAAGTATATTTGTCATCAAAATGACTTATTTTGTAAATTATGTTTCAAGAAACAAAATCTAGTTTTTGAAATACTCCTTTTTCATTTATTTAGGACTCCATTCTCAAATATGCCATAAAAAATAAATATCACAGAAAAAATATTTAAGTATGAAAGAGAATGCAGCAGAGACCACCTGAGTTTCTTCACTGTTCCCAATGCAAACTGAACAATCAAAACCCAAAACGTACATTTACTTATCAACCTTTTTGAGAATGACATTGATGTTAGTATTACATTGAAACATTTAAACTCTTGCCTATTTAACAAACGAATGTAATCATCAACTAACCCTTTTTTATCAGTGATTCATCAGGCAGGGCTTTGTGGATGTTTAGTTGCATCAAAAGTTCTTGAAATTTTGGAACAGGCCAGAAACGTTTGTCTGAAGTCTCTTCCCCTCCTCGCTGAAAAAATCTCACGAAGAGGTATTCACTGAAGATGGGTCCCATGGAGCCCTTAGGAGGCCAGGCCATTTTTTCCATCAGGAGGGGAATCATAGGCTTTCCAAGATTGACAGACAAGTTGACCTAAAATTAAGAAGAAAAAAAATCTATACAAAAGCTCAAACATTTTATACAAATTTAACACTTTTATATAATTTATCGATTAACTTTTCCGATACCATATGGTTCTTTCAAAAAAAATTTTTTTCATAAAGGTATCTATTATCAGAAGGTTGAAAATGCTGTTTTTGCTTCAATAGATTCCATACATAGGATGGTTCCAATTTAATAAACAGAAAACATATATATTTGAATCAACTTACTCTGACTGAAAACTAATACTTGCCTCTCTATTACAGTTGGGAGATTTGGCGTATTTTTCTGACACACAGCATATGATGACCTTTGACCCTCTTATTCCATTGTCAATCTTCTCAAACAGTTTATCCCCACCTCCCATTTGTCCAACATCCATCCAGCATTCATAGCCAGCCATGAGAAGGTGTTGTCGTAGTAACTTGACCTCGTTCTGGTGACCCCATTGGTAGCTAAGGAAGATTGGTGGAGGTTTGGTGTATTCTTTGGCCTCCACCACCACATCCTCTGAATTAAAATAGATACATTTCAACATATTATTGTTTCATTAACGGTAACAGTTTTGGTGAAAGCACTTGTTATTGTAGAAATGCAGAGCATGTCTTAATCATAGATTACATGGATAGGTATTTGTAATGCAGAGCACTTAAATCTTCATCTAATGTTATAGTAAAAGGCAGCTGGAAGCTCCATGCTTGTGTTATGATATTGAATGATACCAACAACATATTGATGGCCAGCTATATATTTTAAAGAAACAATTTGAAAAATATATTTAAAACCTCCAAAAGAGATACGTCACTGACCTACTGCCTTCATGGCATTCTCCAGGATGATTGCAGCGTCCAACCTGTTCATTTCCTGAAGTGTGGTCAGTATTGCATGAGTGGCCTCTGTTGTCTTATTGGTGGCATACCATTCACTAAGGAGGGCCATGCAAGGGTCATTCTGGGTGGCCCATGCTTTTATGTCCTGAGGTAAATATCCCAGGCGCTGGGCCAACAACCTCCAATCATGGTCAGATTTTGGGTTCATCAATTTGGTAAGATCTCGAGACCATGCCGGAGCATTGCTCATTGTCTGTAAACAAACTTTACAATTATAATAACTGAATGTTAGCCCCAATGTTATTTCTCCTGTCAAGTTTTAATCATTTCAAGATGTATTCATTTCAATAAATTGAAAGAGACCATAAAAAGGAATTCTTACCTTTTTGTCAATCTCTTCAACCTTGACTTTTGTTTCTTCCACATCTTTCTCCACAACGTCAACACGTTTTTTGACAGTTTTGATTTCAGTTTTGGCTGTTTTTATTTCCTTGTCATGTCTTTCAACAGTAGTTTTCATGCCTTTGACTTCACCTTCAACTTTTGTGACCTTCTCATCGAGTTCCTTGACCTTCTTCTTAGTTTGTATGACATCTGTTACAATACCTTCCATACTGAAAGTTAAAAGGGCAGGAAAATCATATTTGACATGTGGTGTCAGTGAAGAAAGTGCACATTGTAAGAGATGTTGCTCAAATTGCTTGACTTTCTGTTAACTTTTTACAATGAATAACACGATTGGTGTCCAGGTATCAAACGACACTTTGTAACTTGCAAAAAGTATTTCCGTTACTATTTATAGCCTCATAACACCTGATTCCATTCACTGACAATCTATAACACATCTGGTGTTGAGTTATCAACTAAAATGGTAAAACTAATGCAGAATATTTGCATTATTATTCAATGCTACATAATATACCTGATTCCATCCATTGCATTAACAATAGATGTTGCAACATCTTTCAAGAAGGTGGTTTTTCCATTCTGTTGCAAATCCTCAAAGTATTTCCGATGAGGCTTGAGGGTATCTATGCCATACTTAGCAGCCAATATTTGGATAGCATCTAATATGGGATATTGATAATTGGAATCTTTACAGTTCTTGGACATAATGACAAGCTCCTTCAAAATGGTGTCCACCAGTGCCTGTTGAGATAAATTTAGATAACCTTCAGATTATGGCTCAGAAAGGTGTCAGATGTTATATATTACATAAACTCACACAGTAAAATAAATTAAATGTATATAATTCACATCATTTAAAGTTAAATGTATATTTTTGCACAATCAGATATTCCCTAATAAATGACAAGATCAATCAGAGACAATACCCACAGTAAACTATAAACCAGATACAATACCCACAGTAAACTATGAACCAGATACAATACCCACAGTAAACTATGAACCAGATACAATACCCACAGTGATCTATGAACCAATGACAATACCCACAGTAAACTATAAACCAGATACAATACCCACAGTAAACAATGGATCAGATACAATATCCACAGTGAACTTTGAACCAGATATTTGGATATGAACCAGATACAATACCTACAGTAAACTATGAACCAGATACAATACCTACAGTAAACTATGTACCAGATACAATACCAACAGTGATCTATGAACCTGATACAATACCCACAGTGAACTATGAACCAGATACAATACCCACAGTAAACTATGAACCTGATACAATACCCACAGTGATCTATGAACCTGATACAATACCCACAGTGATCTATGAACCAGATACAATACCCACAGTGATCTATGAACCAGATACAATACCCACAGTAAACTATGAACCAGATACAATACCCACAGTAAACTATGAACCAGATACAATACCCACAGTAAACTATGAACCTAATACAATACCCACAGTGATCTATGAACCTGATACAATACCCACAGTGAACTTTGAACCAGATACAATACCCACAGTGATCTATGAACCTGATACAATACCTACAGTGATCTATGAACCTGATACAATACCCACAGTAAACAATGAACCTGATACAATACCCACAGTGATCTATGAACCTGATACAATACCTACAGTGAACTTTGAACCAGATACAATACCCACAGTGATCTATGAACCTGATACAATACCTACAGTGAACTTTGAACCAGATACAATACCCACAGTGATCTATGAACCTGATACAATACCTACAGTGAACTTTGAACCAGATACAATACCCACAGTGATCTATGAACCTGATACAATACCTACAGTGAACTTTGAACCAGATACAATACCCACAGTGATCTATGAACCTGATACAATACCTACAGTGAACTTTGAACCAGATACAATACCCACAGTGATCTATGAACCAGATACAATACCCACAGTGATCTATGAACCTGATACAATACCTACAGTGATCTATGAACCTGATACAATACCCACAGTAAACAATGAACCTAATACAATACCCACAGTGATCTATGAACCAGATACAATACCCACAGTGATCTATGAACCTGATACAATACCTACAGTGATCTATGAACCTGATACAATACCCACAGTAAACAATGAACCTGATACAATACCCACAGTGATCTATGAACCTGATACAATACCTACAGTGAACTTTGAACCAGATACAATACCCACAGTGATCTATGAACCTGATACAATACCTACAGTGAACTTTGAACCAGATACAATACCCACAGTGATCTATGAACCTGATACAATACCTACAGTGAACTTTGAACCAGATACAATACCCACAGTGATCTATGAACCTGATACCATACCTACAGTGAACTTTGAACCAGATACAATACCCACAGTGATCTATGAACCTGATACAATACCTACAGTGAACTTTGAACCAGATACAATACCCACAGTGATCTATGAACCAGATACAATACCCACAGTGATCTATGAACCTGATACAATACCTACAGTGATCTATGAACCTGATACAATACCCACAGTAAACAATGAACCTAATACAATACCCACAGTGATCTATGAACCTGATACAATACCTACAGTGAACTTTGAACCAGATACAATACCCACAGTGATCTATGAACCTGATACAATACCTACAGTGAACTTTGAACCAGATACAATACCCACAGTGATCTATGAACCTGATACAATACCTACAGTGAACTTTGAACCAGATACAATACCCACAGTGATCTATGAACCTGATACAATACCTACAGTGAACTTTGAACCAGATACAATACCCACAGTGATCTATGAACCTGATACAATACCTACAGTGAACTTTGAACCAGATACAATACCCACAGTGATCTATGAACCAGATACAATACCCACAGTGATCTATGAACCTGATACAATACCTACAGTGATCTATGAACCTGATACAATACCCACAGTAAACAATGAACCTAATACAATACCCACAGTGATCTATGAACCAGATACAATACCCACAGTGATCTATGAACCTGATACAATACCTACAGTGATCTATGAACCTGATACAATACCCACAGTAAACAATGAACCTGATACAATACCCACAGTGATCTATGAACCTGATACAATACCTACAGTGAACTTTGAACCAGATACAATACCCACAGTGATCTATGAACCTGATACAATACCTACAGTGAACTTTGAACCAGATACAATACCCACAGTGATCTATGAACCTGATACAATACCTACAGTGAACTTTGAACCAGATACAATACCCACAGTGATCTATGAACCTGATACAATACCTACAGTGAACTTTGAACCAGATACAATACCCACAGTGATCTATGAACCTGATACAATACCTACAGTGAACTTTGAACCAGATACAATACCCACAGTGATCTATGAACCAGATACAATACCCACAGTGATCTATGAACCTGATACAATACCTACAGTGATCTATGAACCTGATACAATACCCACAGTAAACAATGAACCTAATACAATACCCACAGTGATCTATGAACCTGATACAATACCTACAGTGAACTTTGAACCAGATACAATACCCACAGTGATCTATGAACCTGATACAATACCTACAGTGAACTTTGAACCAGATACAATACCCACAGTGATCTATGAACCTGATACAATACCTACAGTGAACTTTGAACCAGATACAATACCTACAGTGAACTTTGAACCAGATACAATACCCACAGTAATCTATGAACCTGATACAATACCTACAGTGAACTTTGAACCAGATACAATACCCACAGTGATCTATGAACCTGATACAATACAAAGAGTAAACAATGAGTTAAAAATCCAATTTTGACAAACTCTCTGTATTGTAATCATGACACTTATATCACTAACTAGAAATTTTGTGGAAGTTGATAAGATTAAATGAACTTTTTTTAAAATATTACCTTTTTCTTCAGTCCTAGGTTGACTGCTACTTTCTGAACTGCTGAGGAATACATGATTTCTATTTCTGGATTTTGTAAAACATGTTTGATAATGTTTTCTCCAAACAGTTGTGGCTGCACAGGTATAATTTCACCCAAAACTAATAAAATATAGTATTGTGTGTACTGCTTTCCCAAAAGGCCAACCAAAAAGTCAACATGGTGCTGGGTGAAGAGCTAAAACGGTTTAAAAAAAACAACAATTAAAAACAAAATTGATTATAATGAAACCTTAGTGTATGGAGAAAAATTCAACAAATGTTATTAGAATTAGCTAGAAGATTTAATAAAATGAAATATAATCTTCTGAGGTAAAATGTACTCTAGCTTTATGAGAAACAGGATGAACAAACACTACCTTTATGAGGAACAGGATGAACAAACACTACCTTTATGAGGAACAGGATGAACAAACACTACCTTTATGAGGAACAGGATGAACAAACACTAGCTTTATGAGAAACAGGATGAACAAACTCTAGCTTTATGAGAAACAGGATGAACAAACTCTAGCTTTATGAGGAACAGGATGAACAAACACTAGCTTTATGAGGAACAGGATGAACAAACACTAGCTTTATGAGGAACAGGATGAACAAACACTAGCTTTATGAGGAACAGGATGAACAAACACTAGCTTTATGAGGAACAGGATGAACAAACACTAGCTTTATGAGGAACAGGATAAATAAACACTAGCTTTATGAGAAACAGGATAAATAAACTCTAGCTTTATGAGAAACAGGAGAAATAAACTCTAGCTTTATGAGGAACTGGATAAATAAACTCTAGCTTTATGAGAAACAGGATGAACAAACACTAGCTTTATGAGGAACAGGATAAATAAACACTAGCTTTATGAGGAACAGGATAAATAAACTCTAGCTTTATGAGAAACAGGATAAATAAACTCTAGCTTTATGAGGAACAGGATAAATAAACTCTAGCTTTATGAGGAACAGGATAAATAAACTCTAGCTTTATGAGAAACAGGATAAATAAACTCTAGCTTGATGAGGAACAGGATAAATAAACTCTAGCTTTAAGAGGAACAGGATGAACAAACACTAGCTTTATGAGAAACAGGATAAGCCATACAATAAATATCAATTGCACTGTTAATTGTTTGCCTGTCTTTAAAGAATGCCCACCAATCATTTTGTTTAATTAATCTTGAAATTTTCTCACCTCAGGTTGTTTCTCTCCCATTGCTTTCAACAAAACACCCTCCATATTAAAATCCCCGTCAGCATTATTTTCTATTACTTGCATGATCTCTTGGAAATCCTGTTTAGTGACACCATCACTTTCTTCATATGGCTTCCATAAAGCACCTTAAAAAAAACACACAAAAAATCCATACTCATGCTGTATCAAATTTTACCCATACAAAATACTACCAGAAACGCATTTTAATCCTGTAGTAAACTATGAAATAATAATACAAGTTAGTTTTCCATAATTCAGGACATCAAATAATTGAATGGATTAGATAATGTTACATAAACACTGACATATAATCTCTCATGTCACTCCATATGGTAGCTTATCGCTTAACATATCATCTATTTAGACACTGTACAATTAACTTACTAATGGCGTCCATGGAACCTGTCCTTTTGCACCATGCTACGAGATAGCTGAGATGTCCATCCAAAAGCTTGGGGTCACTTGTACTAATCAACCCAACAATTGACAAGCTTGCCTGAGCTAGGTCCTCCTCCTCATGTGTCATTTGTTCCAATATGGGAGGTATCAGCGGTTTACAAACGTGACCATTTTGTTTGCGGATATGCTAAAACGGCCAAAATTAAGTTTTTTTCTCAATTCAGATACAGCTTCAAACTTTAGATACAGAGTCACTACTTCACATACTTTCTGGTCAAGAATGTTATCAAGACAAGTATTAAAATGATTTGAACTTAAACCTTTTACTTTGATCTTAATATATTGGCAATCTGTAATATGTTCAGAATTCGGAATCAGCTCATTTATCTATAAACTGTTGTTGATTAAGAAAACTTTTACAAAAAGAAGAAACTGATCTGAAACATTTTCATTATTTGTTATTTCTATACTGAAATTTGCATGCCTTTTGAAAACCAATTGAAATTTTACCTTGTCTACAAATGTTCTCAAGTGCTGTGAAGCAACACGGGTATACAAGGTGTCTGTCCCTTTTTCCATATCAACAAATTCTAAATCCTCTGTCTGCATTGTCCATATAAACATCCGTATGAAAGTTTTGTTGACATCATCAGGCATTTCTTTCCCAGTGCTGAAACAAAGTATTTTTCTAGTTCTATTGTTGATCAGATTCCCACACTATTGACTAATTACTAACTCAAACTGTCATCTGGGAATCAACTCATAACCTCTCTCCCCAACCATTTCCAAAGGAGCATGACCTTCCAAAAAGGAAATTAGCTCAACATTTTACAGATTAATACATTATACAAGGATTATAGCCAGCAAGTACTTTTTAAGTTCATTATGGGGGGTATAAGGACATTTTCTGCGAACCAACAACAATTCACATTTAAATTAAATTAATGATCTGTAAACTTTGTCAAATATCAACAGTGCTAAGGATTATGGATTCTTTTAGAACAATTCCTGGATGAAACAAAAGTCAGGGTAAACTGAATACTGCATGTCGCTTGTAAAACAGCATTGCCATTTCATATTGTGTTATATGTTCAAAAATACAATTAGTCTATCCATTATATAACATATACCTATAGGCATCTAACACTTTTTGAATGAAATAGTCTCCACATCTTTTTGTATCAAATTCACTCCACATGTAATCCCTGTCAAAAAGCAGCAATGAAAATCTCTTTATCACACCCGGAATGACATTCTTGTTTGTCTGAAATATACAAAAGTAATAAAACTTTTCAATATTCTCTTTAAAATGTAAAAAAAATAATGAACATTACCTCGTACATGTACAAGAGATTGAGAGAGATCTTGGCACCCATCATTATGCGATATCTATTTGTCCTTAATAAGTTGGATTTTTCATTTCATTTCTCTTCTTTCCTCATAATTACTCATAATTCTATAAAACTGCATACCTCTCAGAAAATTGTCTTAAACTTTATTTAACTGTCTGTAATCATTTTGTTTTTTCTGACCAGTTTTTAATATGGAAAATGCACAACTAATCAAGGTACTATGTAGAACCAACATATACACAATTTAAGAATGATCCATCCAGTTCTTCTCAGATATCATCACATATTGAATGACTTACCGCAAGTGCGAAATCTGTAATGAATATTTCCACAAAACGGTTCAACATTATGGATTTCCTCTCCATTGTTGTAATGACCAGTACAATTAAATCCCCATTAAGCTTCTCTGGAATTTTGGCTAGTCTGAAAATCATGGCCAACAAACTTTAACTAAATGTACAATAATGTTAATGCAGTTACCTAAAACAAGCGAAGGTGGTGAGATTAAAATTATTTCAATTATTACATGGACTCTTTTCTTTTATGTGACAGTAATAATTGTGTGCTTCAAAACTTACAGCTTTCATCGTTTAACATTTCTTACTTTCTATAACTAGTTTGCTACACATTTGGTGTAAAGGTTATAAAAACACACTGTTAAGCAATATTGTATCAGAACTATAGGGTCTACAGAATTGTCTACTTGGTACATACGAGAACTGCTCCAGAAGCTTGCGTGCAATGTTCCCACAGAATTTCATCCGCTTTTCGTCACTTTCCTTATTGTCTGTCACATGAAGCTGGGCTTCACCAATAGATTTAATGATGTCTATGGCGTGTTGAAAATTTTGCTGGTAAGAGGAATTTATTCAATATATGTATTTAATGTTCTTAAGGCTAAATCATAGATTCAAAATTTCCTGGACTAAAATACCTTCGCAGCAAAATTGATTTTCAGAGATAAGAATGTTTGTACCAATATTCAGCTGGTATTCTTTGGCTATCTATAAACATTTTTTCTTTCATACATTTATATACTACCTGTACATTAAACATGTCATATTTAATGAGTTTCCATTTACAGCAGTTAATCATTTATCAATCAAAAGTTTTAGATTATCATACCTGTCTATACAACTAAAAACAGATGGTCTTTGATCTTATACCCATCAACAATCTGTCTAATACCTATTTACAACAGTTCATTACTATCTAGAGGATTACAACTGCTTTTAACTATGCAATTATCTGTCATCAAGATCACACCTGTCCTTACTATCAACTGTACTCAGAATTTACATTTGTCTATTACCTGGTACTATCATTTGTCACATGGACGCACACCTGTCTATTACTATCACATGTTCTATTTCTACCCTGTCTATTACTATCATTTGTCACATGGACGCAACTTGTCTATTACTATCACATGTTCTATTTCTACCCTGTCTATTACTATCATTTGTCACATGGACGCAACTTGTCTATTACTATCACATGTTCTATTTCTACCCTGTCTATTACTATCATTTGTCACATGGACGCAACTTGTCTATTACTATCACATGTTCTATTTCTACCCTGTCTATTACTATCATTTGTCACATGGACGCAACTTGTCTATTACTATCACATGTTCTATTTCTACCCTGTCTATTACTATCATCTGTCACATGGACGCAACTTGTCTATTACTATCATATGTTCTATTTCTACCCTGTCTATTACTATCATCTGTCACATGGACGCACACCTGTCTATTACTATCACCTGTTCTATTTCTACCCTGTCTATTACTATCATTTGTCACATGGATGCACACCTGTCTATTACTATCACATGTTCTATTTCTACCCTGTCTATTACTGTCATCTGTCTCATGGATGCACACCTGTCTATTACTATCACATGTTCTATTTCTACCCTGTCTATTACTATCATCTGTCACATGGATGCACACCTGTCTATTACTATCATCTGTCACATGGACGCACACTTGTCTATTACTATCACATGTTCTATTTCTACCCTGTCTATTACTATCATCTGTCACATGGATGCACACCTGTCTATTACTATCATTTGTCACATGGATGCACACCTGTCTATTACTATCACCTGTTCACTTGATTCACATCTGTCTATTACTATCACATGTTCTATTTCTACCCTGTCTATTACTATCATCTGTCACATGGATGCACACCTGTCTATTACTATCATTTGTCACATGGATGCACACCTGTCTATTACTATCACATGTTCTATTTCTACCCTGTCTATTACTATCATCTGTCACATGGATGCACACCTGTCTATTGCTATCACCTGTCCACTTGATTCACATCTGTCTATAGTTATCATTCGTCCCTGTGCATTACTTTTCTATATGTTTCACAAATATCTATATTACACACACCTGTGTCACATGTCTGTAGGTTTCACACATGTCTATACTACACACATGTGTCTATCACCAGACTATAGGTTTCACATCTGTCCATTGAGGTAGAAAAAAAATCTTACTTTCCAATTCCAAATTTTCCTAAATTTTCCCTCGTCTATGGTATTGTAGCATCTGCGTGCACCCTCCTCTGTGCCTGTTTTAACTAGCACTTTTAGAAGCTTAAGCCAACTCAGTTCAGTTCCTTTCCTGAAAATATTGTATACTTCATAATCTTTAACAAGATAAAATTTAACAAAATAAAATCAATCAAAAAAATGTCATTGAAATTGTTGCAATATTTGTCAAATCAAAACAAAAATTGTGAAAGCTTACCCCATTAACAAGAAATCTATCAAAAATCAAAAGAGAGGGGATTTCCAGACACTACTAAAAGCAGAAAAATCAGTAGGCAATAATCCTTCCAAACAAAAGGCTTTTGTGGAAAACAATGCTATATGTCTTCATAATAAAGCATACCAGTTTTTCAAATGGATCAGTCTAAAATTGAGACAACATTAAAATGCTAATAAGCAAGGGACAACAACCCTTCAAAACATTATCAAATCAAAATGTAATTTAGAAAAACACACCTCCCTGTCGTGTTGATAAAGTCTACTGACATTGCCTACAGATGGATAATGATAACTAAATTTGTAGCTGTTAGGCAATACGGGAAAGTTTCCCTCTAGACGTCGACACATGTAATTTCATTTAAGGAAGAGACAAAGTTATTTGCAATATCAGTAGAGTACATTGTAACATGTGCATGTAAACTTTTATGAAAATCACCTCAGCTCCTGAGAAAACCTTCAGATCAGAAAATGGCAGATGAATTATAAAAAAAGAAAAAAAAAAAAACAGAACAGAAACAAAAAAAGAGGTCTGTAAGCCTTAACAGTCATCTGACGATTAAACATCCAATATATTTAGCGTATTTATGGAACAATCATTCAAATAAAAAATCAGGTCTGAGTTTTTCCACAATCCCAGTAGATGAACCTTGTTTAACAAATGATTGCCCTCTCCAGTGATGTTTGGGGAAATCCATGCACTCACATTTTAAGTTTTAAGGAATAGTCCTAGCATTTTAAAATAATATTTTAGCTGAAATTACCTTTTAAGGTCCCAGTGTGATGTCCCTTGTTGTCAAATCAACTTAATTAATTAAAGAATTAAGAAATGAAAACTACTAAGATGTTTCAGAGAGATGCATTTTAAAGCAAACTTGTAGTTAAATTCCCTGTCCCCCCCCTCCATGCCCCTCTCCTCCATGCCCTTCTTTCTCACACTACCAAGAACGAGCCTACCCACAAAGATGTTTCAGAGCAAAATCTGGTTGAAACCCACTCAACCATTAAGGAGTAGCATTTTCATGAAAAAAGTTTGGAAACAGTGGATGATGAAAAATAAGGAAATATGAAAATAGGTTATTGTGACCTTTAGGTTTTTTCCCTGTTTTGACAAATGTAATAAAATTCAATTCATACCTCTAGTGTACATTGTCAGTTAAGATTCCTATGTGTTGAAGAGATGTAAAACTCAATAATGGTATCCCTGTTTTATATGGTAATGAATATTTGATTACATATGAAATATTTTAAGTATGACAGCTGATGATACAAAAAAAAATGTATCTTACTTGGCACTGGCCCACTTGTTCATGAGAGATGTGTAGCTGGAGGTCCAATCAACATTTTCTGGATGTTTTTGTGCAAGTTCTGTGAGTACAGGCACAAGTGAGTCCACTATTTCTGGGTGATTCTAAAATACAAATTTGGATTTTTTTTAATTGACACAAAAACATCAAACACCTAATGTTTTCCTCCTGTTAAACTGCTTTTTTTATATTGTAACATTCTGTTTGTTAGAATTATCCTTCATTTAAAGTGAACATGTATATTTGAGCCTTTCTCATTCTCATACTGACAGGCTGTGTATATCACCGTTTGACAAGTACTCTTAGATCAGAATAACTATAATTTGCTCTATAAACATAAGAAGATTGCTTACACTTTGAACAAAGCTACAACAAAATGGACTGGGGAAGGCTGTAGAAATGTTCGCTTTGAAACCATAAAAAAAAATCCCGATATATCACAGTAGTAAGAAAATTAGTGATTAAAAGCTAACAAAGTAAAATTTACAAATATATTTGTTATAGATAAGCTGAAAATAAAACTTACCTTGTATACCTCCTCTGGGAGTTTTTCCAGAAGATACTTTATATCTCTTAATACCTTTTCGTACTTCTTAGCATTTTTAGAAGAATAGTACTTCTTCAACATGTTTAGAATATCATCCCAAACATCCATAATCCAGTTCTTCTTTCTGCAGGATAACAGATCATAGCACACAGGAAGTGAATTATTGTATAATCAGAATCGTGAAAAGAAGACATGATAAAGTCTTATATACATGTATGTCACAAAACTAAGTCCAACAATGACTCATACATTGTAATGATTAGTATACATACTTATGATATAACTGTTACGCTAAAAACTTTAAAATAAAAGCCAATTTTGAAAATAAGCTCTGGAGTGTGTGCAGGGAAAAACATATTGAAAACACCAATTCTTAAAAACAAGCCCTGCAGTCCATGCTGGGAAAAACATCTTAAAAATAATCCATTCCCAAAAATAGGCTCTGGAAAAGTATATTGCCCAGTACACAACCAGGTTCAGTACCACCAGGTTCAGTACCACCAGGTTCAGCACAACCAGCTTCAGGACACTATCAGCCTCAGCACACGATCAGCCTCAGCACACAACCAGCCTCAGCACACAACCAGCCCCAGTACACAACCAGGTTCAGTACCACCAGGTTCAGCACAACCAGCTTCAGTACACAACCAGCTTCACCACACAACCAGCTTCACCACACAACCAGCCTCACCACACAACCTGCCTCAGTACACAACCAGCTTCACCACACAACCAGCCTCACCACACAACCAGCCTCACCACACAACCAGCCTCAGCACACAACCAGCTTCAGTACACAACCACACAACCAGCCCCAGCACACAACCAGCTTCAGGACACTATCAGCCTCAGTACACAACCAGCTTCACCACACAACCAGCTTCACCACACAACCAGCCTCACCACACAACCTGCCTCAGTACACAAACACACAACCAGTCTCACCACACAACCAGCCCCAGTACACAACCAGGTTCAGTACACCAGCCTCAGCACACAACCAGCCTCAGCACACAACCAGCCTCACCACACAACCAGCCTCAGTACACAACCAGTCTCACCACACAACCACACAACCAGCCTCAGCACACAACCAGCCTCAGCACACAACCAGCTTCACCACACAACCAGCCTCAGCACACAACCAGCCTCAGTACACAACCAGCCTCAGTACACAACCAGTCTCAGTACAACCAGTCTCAGCACACAACCAGCCTCAGTACACAACCAGCTTCACCACACAATTTTCAGTGCACAGCCTCAACACAACCAGCTGTCATGATCACACAACCAACATTCACCACACAACCAGTTTCTCACACAAGTGCCTCAGGACACACATGTCATTATAGCCTCAGCACACAACCACCAGCACACAATATCAGTACACAACCAGGTTGTTGTTTCACCACCAGTTATATACAGCACAACCAGCTTCAGGACACTCTGAAATTCAGCACAGATCATTTCAGCACACAACCAGCCTCATCAATATTTGGGCCAGAAACATGCTCTCTATTCATTCATTCTAGTTTAATTTTAATTTCTGATGTTTTTGATTTTGATCATTTTATATGTAAACAAAATTTGTTCAATAGATTGAAATTTCAAAGACATTTTTACCAAGTACGGATTCCTTTCATGGTTATCCCGGTAACAAGCTTGTATTACATCCATGACAGAACACACATGCTTAGCATATTCTTCTGGTTCCTTTCCTATCTTTTCAAAATAGAAAAGATAAAGTTCCAGAATTTGTTGATGAATAGCTGGTTCATAAACTTTGTCACTTTTCTTATCCCTGAAAATACATGAATATTGACATTAATGTTATTTTGAAATGTATATTTAGAAAAATGTGCATAAATGATTGAGTCAAAAATAAGTTTTCTCTAAATGAGCAGTATATTAGGGCGACTAGTTACCTGGGTAACATTAGCAATATAACATACAGTCTGTAATATGATGTATGTTGGTTTTAAAATAGTTGCAATGAATATCTTTTCAATATTTAACAATGGTATACATACAATATATTTGGGATAGAAAAACAAGAATGAAGCTTAAATTACTAGTGTTCCTTGTTTTAGACTACGTGCAGGTGGGATTCATTTGAATTGGAAATGTTTCTGGTTTGACAGACAATGTGTGAGGTTTTCTATGCTCCAAGTATCAAATCTAATTGGAGTATCAAAATGAAAGTACATTATGTACATGATATCTAATTTGAAGTAATTACCCAAGTGTTTTGCTCAAAACTTTAGATGTGCAGTATTCCCATTGCTGACTCTGGTCTTTCACTGTCATATCTGGTCCCTCAGAACTGTGAGTCCATAATTTCAAGCTTTCAATAATTCTTGTAAATTCTTCCCCTTTCAAGTCCTATAACAAATAATACTAAATATGACATTTCATTTTTGTTTTGTAATAAACCTATCACTGTATAGAGATAGACAAATAACTGCTATGTAGAGAGATAGATAAATAACTGCTACATACAGAGATAAACACATAACTGATACATACAGAGATAAACAAATAACTGATACATACAGAGATAGACACATAACTGCTACATACAGAGATAAACATAACTGATACATACAGAGATAAACACATAACTAATACATAAAGAGATATACACATAACTGCTACATACAGAGATGAACACATAACTGCTACATACAGAGATAAACATAACTGATACATACAGAGATAAACACATAACTACTACATACAGAGATAAACACATAACTGATACATACAGAGATAAACAAATAACTGCTACATACAGAGATAAACACATAACTGCTACATATATAGATAAACACATAACTGCTACATATATAGATAGACACATAACTGCTACATATATAGATAGACACATAACTGACACATATATATATAACTGGTATCAATAGAGGTACATACATGATTACCAATGCTGATGAACACAAACTGCTTTAGTAAAATATATAACTGGTTCTGTACAAGTGTTATATACAATGATTTTTATTGAATATAGAGGTAAATTAAAGTCAACATATGGTGTTTGTATGTTCTATAGAGTGCATATCCTAAAACACAGAATCACGTAAAGGGATGTTGTTATGCGATCAGTTACCTCCAAGTACTTATCAATATTCTGAGTTCGGACCAGCCGTTTCTGTATGATATGTGCAGCTGTACTTCCTGGTCCTGTCTCTAACAGGCCTATGAGTAGTTCAAACAACATCTTTTGACATGCTTCAGCTGTCACTTTCCTTTCCTTTACACATACCCTGTATCAAAGTGTGAGATTAACACATTGATTGTGATATCAACACAGTAATTGTATTAAGACTGAAACATTTATTGTGAGATTTAGATTGTAACCAGGTAATCATGACATTGATACAATATAGGTATTAACAGCAGAATTAAGATAATTGCATTATTTTGTGTAGAACTGCAAAACTAATTTTGACAAACTATGATAACCTTTTTTGTGCCACTATTTTGGAAATACCGCAAAGAAGTTTCATATGTTTCCTACCAATCTATAGATAATAGAGTTTTAAATATTGTACAAATATATTTTATAAATATGTTTGATACACAAAATATGGCAGAAGACAGTTAAATGTACTTTTTATATGATACAAAGTAGTGAGAGATCATTAAATCAGAGACTTACTCCATCACATCCTCGATCCTCTGGTAGACTTCAATTGCCATCTCAGCCCCTGCTGACTCCTGGGAAGGGAAACCCTTAACACAGACCTGTTCCTGCAGGGCTTTTACACATGCCTTCAAGGTGTCTTCATTCCCTTCTTCTCTACATTTCGACCTGATATCTCTCCATTCCCTTTCTTGAAGTCCAACTTGTTCCTTATTGGCAGTTGCACAATTGTACCTTTTTATGATTCCTAACAGCAAGGACTGACCTGTCAAACATTCATGTGTTCAACTGAATTACATCTAGTATTACAGAAGGACCTGTTGCTGTCAAACATACATTTATATAATCCTTATTGACTCTACACTAACACTTTTATAGCTTTGACCTTCAACACTTTTGAATAGGTACTTAGAAAAATTACCTTGATTTTTTTTAATATCAATAAACATATACTTTTCTGCAGTGACTTACAAAATAATAAGAACTCTGACCCATAAAAGTCTGACTCTAAAAGTGACCTGTCACAAGTGGTAATACAACACAGATATGAGACTTGTCCCTAATCTTTAACTCAATTACCATGAGCATGTTGAATTGACACAATAGGGTCCCATTGCAGACCTACATATCATAGTACAACACTATGTAAAATATCTAAATACTGAGAAAATCTCAGGAAATGAAACTGCTTACACCCACACAAATAACTTGCTGACATACAGACAACAGACAGATGCCAAACTCAATCACTATAGGGCTGGATATGAGCTTACAGACCCCAGAATCTCAAAGTCTCTGGCTTCACTGCCCTTCATTGAAAGGAGACCAAAAATATTATATCAGCACCAAAAACAAACCTTGCTGTATTTGTCCTGGGGCATCTGAAAAAAGGAAACATTAACTGTTATAAAAAGTGGAACAAGTGAATATACATATTGTAATGTAAAACAATCAGTCATATCTCATAATTATAGTTTAAATGATTGATATTTGTGACCAGTTATTGTTTAAAGGAAGGAACTTAAAGGCTGCCAATATGACTCTTGGCAGCACAGTGCTGAAGAAAAAGCATTTAAAATAATTTATCTATATTGTATCCAGTATATATGTATTACTTACGTATCCTGGGATCATTCCAAGAGGTGGTTCCATCATTGTGGTTTATAAAGTAGATTTTACCCTCTGGAGTAAAAGCATGTTGCCAGCCTTGTGGAAGTGGAGGTCCGTACTGGTTCATACCATGAGTTTGGTTTAACACATGCCCTTGGTTTAAATAGGCCATATATCATGAAGACAGCAGAGCATCAATTCAACTGACTATAAATCTGAAATGACATAATGTTCATGATTGAACAAAGAAATATTACAAACAAATCATGACTACAGGCCTTGTAGAAAGGGATCAAGTCAAGGAGGAGAACTCATAGCAATCACAAGCAAATATACTAAAAGGATAAAGAAACGCAGGGTGAACTTTAAACCAGAAAGTAAATATGATATCGGGCTTCACTTAAAACGAAATTTTGTATACTTACAGATAAATTAAAGCTTAAAAGTTTCCAAAGTCTGTATTTTGTATCTGACAATTGGTTTAGAGGTACTAACGATTAAATTGAATGGACCCATAGAATTTTGAAATTGAAACTGAACTGAGTCATCAATATCTTGTGTGTCCGCCGTTTGTTGTGGTCATGGCCCTTATTCTTCTGGTCATTGAGTTCATGAGAGCGTTAATCCGTCTTATGGGGATGTTGTCCCACTCTTCAATCAGAGCTCTGGTCAACTGCTCTCAAGTAGCAGGGGGTGGCTGGTGCTTTCGAACCTGTCTATCCAACTGGTCCCAAAGATGCTCGATCGGGGACAAATCAGGGCTATATGGTGGCCAATCTCGTGGTTGAATGTTGTTGTTGGCCAGAAAGACTTGGCAAATCCTTGCTACATGGGGCCTAGCATTATCCTGTTGGAGGGTTAGATTATGCTGCTGTAAGAAAGGGATAACACGGGGTCGGAGGATCTCATCTTTATACTTAGCTGCTGTTAAATTGCCATCAATAACAACCAATTGTGATTTTAACCCGTGTGAGATTCCTCCCCACACCATTACTGAACCGCCCCCAAACCTATCCCTCTCTACAATGCAAGCGTCCGTAAAACGTTCGCCACGATGTCAGTAGACACGTTGACGGCCGTCAGATCGAGAGAGACAGAATCGAGACTCGTCCGTGAAGAAAACTTGTCTCCACTGCCTCAGTGGAAACCGTCGTGGAGCATGAGCAGCGACCCAGGCCATACCACGCTGACGTCGAGCAGAGGTAAGGTGTGGACCTACATAGGGGCGACGTGCTCTTACACCAACTTCTCGTAATCGATTCCTTACAGTTTTTGAACTTATAGGACGCCCATGATTTCCACGAACATTAAGTGTACTCTCAACGGCAGTGAGACGCCGATTACACACATGAGAGACGACAATATAGCGATCCTGACATCGTGATGTTACGCGCGGACGTCCTGACCTAGGTCGATCGGCTAATCGCCCAGTTTCCCGAAGACGTCTTACAAAACGTTCTATGGTGGAAACATTAACACCAAAGTGCCTAGCAACCTGATTTTGCAGCTGTCCTTGCATCAGCATCTGAATGGCCTGACCCCTCTGAACTTCTGTGAGTCGTGCCATTCTTAAAACGAATCGAAATCTCAATTAATTTTAGGGAAGCAGTTGGTCTGTATAAAGACTAACGAAGAGTGACTTGACCAATGCTGCATGAGACCAGAACAACACGGTGCACGAGATTCTTGTTTTTTCCTTCCTCCTTTTACCAGAGCTGCGCACTGTACCGTGACTAAATTTTCGATACATGACAAGGTGTAATAAGACCTAATTAATCAATCCACAAAGTTTCACTTTATTTGGAGAACACGCTTTCAAAATATCGGAATAAATATTACCCTGCGTTTCTTTATCCTTTCAGTATATATATCCCAACATATTACTGGACTATAAACAGACATCAAGGCAATTTGGACATATATCTCAATGGCAAATGCACATAACCTCATAATAGCAGCATATTAGAGATCACTATCAGAGAAAGGAGATTCACTACAACAACTGGAAATCTCTAGGAACAGATTAGGCCAAATCAACAATAACATTCATTTGTGGAGATTTTAACAATTCTCACATTGATTGGAAACCAAGCCATCACAGGTAAACTAGAACAAATGCAGCACCAATGCTTACTAGATATTATGGAAGACAATTCATTTACACATTTATAGACAAACCCACTTGAGGCAACCACATACTTCACCTCAGATTCCTAAATAGACCATCAGTCATAAACAAAATAGACACAACACCACCCATTGGCACAGCAAACCATGATATTGCATACACAGAAATAGATGTTAGACTCAAGAGATCCAGGAGAGCAAGAAACGTATTTTTATACAACAAAGCCAACTGGAATCAGATAAGACACTGAACTTGACAGTACATTTGGAAACCATACAAACGAAACTACAGACTCACTTTGGAACTTGTTTATATCCACACTTCACAAATCCGTCAACAAAAACATACCACAGAAACTGCTGACTTAACACATAAAAGAATATGCATACAAATCCAAAGTCAGACCTAAAACAGAATACTGCACCTCCATGTGGGACTAACAACTAAACAAACCAAACCTGCTAACTTGAAAAAAAAAAAACAAAAAGCTGAGCTGCACGTTACACGACAAACAGATATCACAATACTAGCTCAGTATATAATGACATGATGGAAAACCTCAGCTGACCAACTCTAGCTCTACAAATACAAGATTAAGAACAAGAATCATATTGTTTTACAAAATTAGACAAGTTTACCCTTACACATACTGACACGTGTTTGCCACCAATGACACTTACAGGTACTCATTCTTCCCACACACAATACGACGTCTGGAACTCTCTACAAGTGGCAGCGGTACAAAGCACTACAATAGAGGCCTTCAAGTCACACATTCACAACATCACCATTGAAGACTTCGAACTCACTCCTATACACTGTCATTGTTTTTAAACATTTTTATCTTAAAATTACGATAAAAAAAACTACCATGCCTCTGCACAGTCATCCAGCTTACCAATTGGTATAGCCTATCATCGATTTGGCACCACAGCAGACGTTTGACAGCAAGAACTCGGGTAACTTAGAGAATACCCGAACGAAATCTTACGGGTGCATTCGCTAGGCAAAATACAACGACTCGCATTCCTTTTTCGCCATCGTCTAGTCGAAAAAAGAAATGAAAACGATGTCTTGTAATTTCAAAAAGATAAAAGTATATACATTAAGACCTTGAGAATTATGTTTGAACGCCATAATATTACACTCCATACTGTAAGTGATTTAAGAACGACCCTCATACTTGATGAGTTTTTAATATTACTTTAAAGTGTACCTAGATTACGGTATAGTATTAATTAATATTAATTATGTTTCCTTTCTTATTAAAAAAAATCGGAAACCCGGTCAAAATTTGTCGCTTAGTTTTTGAGATATTTGTCGTTAAATTCACCGTTCGGAACCGGTTTGCACCTGTCGATGGAGGCTAATTAACACACTTCCCAACTTCCGGTTAACAGACCGGAAAATCCCGTGACGTCACAAGGGTAGCGCTTGGTCTAAGAAATGATAATGTCGGACAGTGATAACAGCGAGTGCGAGTGGTTCGAAGACTCAAACAATTCGGAAGAATGCAGCCTGAATTTAAGCTTTGAATCTTCTGATTACGACACGGAGGTTATAGAGAGACAAGCTGGTATTCAACCATACCAATTTGAACCCGAGGTAGATGGTGAAAGCAGTCCATCTTCACCTGCGTCGTCTACACGTAGCGATGATAATGCTGATCGCCTGGGATCCTTAGACTGGTATGTTCAGAGATGTTAGCTTTCACGTATGATTATTTTTTTCCAGGAATTTTCCCTTTTCAAAATGCATCGTGCATGTTAACAAATGCGGATTTTCAGGATTTTTTCTCCACTTGCTCAACCTCACAAGTCCGACTTTGTCGAGATAACAGCCAATGCCTTTTTTTTGCATTTACAATTATTTGACTTTTACATAATACCCACCCCTAAATATTTTGTGTTACATAAATTAATGTGCATAGCATTTCTTTTTACAAAGGAGAACATTTCCTGGAAACAAAGTGTATTCTTTTGCTATGTCAAATGGTACTGGTATGTACTATAAAGTGTTGAATAGAAAACTTCTAACAAGACATTTTAAAGGTATTTTCACACCAACATACTAGTGAATTATGTATAAAACACAGAAAATTTTATATGTTACAGGTGTCTTTGCGGTAACTGCAGTCTTATGCCTACCATTGAGGAGTGCAGGTGCTGTAGTGAGATACACAGTGTACTGAACACAAAAGACGACATACCAGGGATACAGTGCATAACAGACCATCCTGGATTTGGGCCAGTCTGTTTGGATATTTATGTGCTGAGAACATCTTATTTCCAGTACAGACAACTTCATGGAGAGATACCAGAATGCCCTGAGTAAGTTATGATGTTTATCTACAGCATCAAATTTATTATTATAAAACTTGAAACATAATAAAATAATTCATTTGTTAAGAAGATATTTTAAAAATGATGTTACAAACTTGTCTATCAAGTTACAGGTCTAAAATACTGCAAAAGAACCAATAACCAGACAAGATAAAATAGATTTTCAATAATAAGTCAACATTTCTGAAAATCTGGTTTGGAATTGTTACACATATGTATTGTAGAGTTACTTGTGTTTACCATAATTCACTAGTGCTTGCATCCTCCGCAGATTAATGGCAAACTTGGCATTAACAATGATTACAGAATATATTGTTCTTGTTTTATCAGGAGATACCGCTATACAGCATACAGACAATTTGTGAGATGGTGTTGGGGGTACTTGGGAAAAAGCATAAGAGTGCCATTACCTGCGTGTGCTGTGAAGATTATTAGAGAAACATTTCCTGCACCAAATGGAAATTTTAAAGGTTTTAATTTTGTGCATTAAAAATATGTGTTGAAAACATTGAAAGAATGACATGAAACAATAAAATTATAATTGATATCTGATTGTTGTTTTTTATTCATATATACACTTGAAACTGTAATAGGATCTGTAAGTCTCGTCATGTGACCTACTAGAACATACCACTTAACTTGAACAATCATAACTATGAAAACGGAGGATTACCAGTAGGTACGTTTTTAAAAACTCCTTGGGAAATGTGCATTTTGTCGAAATTGAAAATACTTTTCTTCTATAAGACTACTACCTAAAACGTCAGTTGGTACACAGAAGTAAAGTAAAACAGACTTGCAGACCATATAAAAAAAAGATGAAAATTCATGTACATGTATGTATTTTAAATGTTCAAGTTAAATCTTGATTCCATCAATGCGACAGCTTCCATTTTTACAGGTCTGACAAAATCACTACAGAGTGGTGGGGGTTGGTCTTTAAGTAGCATATCCTCCACTTGCATCGTACTTTTTTCTGCCACTTGTAGCACTTCTGCCATCAGTTCATGTACATAGTCTGTAAGATAAAAAGTACATATACAAGTACACTGGTTTTATTATTTTTTCCAATCACTATTACACAAAATCTGACATTATTGCTAGTAAAGACTTTAAATGTTTTGTATACATGGACATATTTTCCTGCAACTAAAATGCAAGTTGTTAATTGAAGAATCATGTACTGCAATATATAGAATACTGAACCTAACCTAAAATATTGAACTCGTCTTCATATGCAACATAATACTTACCAAATGTTTGTTTTGTTTTGACTTTTCTGACAGTGTATCCACCTTTCTTCTGTTTAGGGTAGATTATCTTAAACATTTTCTCCCCAGCAGATGTCATGGCTTGTTCTCTTCTCACATTTTCATTGTGGTGAAGTGCAGCTAGAATCACCCTATTCAAAGAGATGCAACAATATTTAAACTTTCCTGATTAAGTATCATCAATATCTTAAGAATTAAGACTGGCTGCCTAAATCTTTTACATACTCATACATCAGGATCTTCCTCCACCTGAGTGTCTGTGGATACCGTGGAACTCTCTTTCAAACATTGCTCGACTATCTATAAAAAAAAATCAAATTTATCATACAAATAATGTACATGTAGTCACAGTGTAGCTGTTTAATACGTACATTTAAGTTAAAACTGAAGATACCTCGCATACACTGAAACATTTACTGGGAAAAGGTTTATTAAATGCTAAATAGGAGTATTGTCCACTAAGGAAGGCTGCATTACTCATTACCTTTTCTACTCAGATACTACTATAACTTATATGATATACATAGGCCCTAGATCTTCATGTATTATGTAATAATTACCCTTCTGTTCTCTCTTTTTGCGAAAGCAGTCCGTGGTCTTTTGACAGGCGTTTCCTCTACGTTGGTGCAGCCTTTGTTAATCGTTGGCACAGCATCTTTTATTAGCGTTTTCTTTTTCGGTGGTGTACGTCCCATTGATTGAAGAAATCTGTACTGCATCGGGTAGCAGTCCTCACCGAAATGTTCCGAACACAAAACTGAATGTTTTGTTGGCCCGTCCCACAAATCCCTTTTCCTCCGCACAAATGCAGTCCAAACTTTGCATATTTCCGGTCTGTCTAATGGGAAAAAATGAAGTGAAACACCGTCTAAAGTGGTGTTTCCACATCCATACGCTACACATCTCTTCCCACGTGAACGTTTGTTGGTCGGAGTCGCTTCCATAGTTAAGCTAATACTTCGAATTTCGCACGTTTTGAATAAAAATAAATATCACTTGATACGCACAAATATGGTAGGATATAAATACAGGACGAGAAGTATGAAGATTAAACAACCAAACGTCTGTTTCACATATTTTCGACAGTCTACACGCGAAAGTTACCTGGCATGGCGGGTCGTCCCAAATGCTACCCTTGTGACGTCACGAGCAAATAGAGCCTCGATTTGATGTGAGAGCGGTTTATTCAAAGGTATGTTTTTCGGTTTTTGCCGTAAAGCATCAAAACTATAAAACTGAAATGATTTTTTTATATATATTTATGAACGTCTATATACATACCAATTAACAACTATAAATAAACATGTAATCTAGGTACACTTTAACTAAATAAGTTGACCAAGCTTTGAATGAATGTAATGTTGGGGAAAACCAGAAACCAAGGTTTCAAAAGAATATATTCCCTAAGGCAGGGTCAGCGGACTCACGTTTTTGCAACAACACCATAAATTGAGTCGGTGGTGTGTGGGAGTGGCACTTTATCTACAGCTGTAATTCACAATATTATAACACGAATTCTCATACCATAAGCAATTCTGGAGAATAGATTGATGTTAACAACTGTAACCAACATGCACCAACACGAAAAGAAATACGACAAAAGGTTTTAGTTGGATATAGTGTGCATAATATTTAAATAACTGTGTGAGATAAAGACTTTTTTGTACGAACTCATAGTCTCAGTTATTCTGTTGTTCGATAGACTTTGATAGATTCGGTCCGCGTGTACTCACATTGTGATACTCAGAACTGAAATAACTTATTAATTTTCCATAGGAAAAGGGTCAGGTTCGTACCGACTTCCACTAAAATACAGTATAGCATTATAGATATATGTGTCTCCACAATGATTTCATGTGAGATTATGAAACGAGTTTTTTAACAATAATTCATTTTTGTAACGAATTGTATAAATCACAAAAGTAATAAATTGACAGATCACCCGCCATTAGGCAGCCCACTGACTGTATGACTGATTTAATATAGGAATGCCACTATGTGATACAGAATCCCGTCGTCTTTATAAGCTCTATAGTATGTCGTACTGTACCCTAAATTTATTTTAACTATGTAATACTATTGGAGCAATGATTTTATGACTTGATTGAAGAATTCCGCGCTAACATCACTCCACATATCTTACCTGGATATTCAAGTTCATTTCATATGCGGAAAAAAACTTCGCCAAAAAGTTAAGTTGTCGTTATTGATATATGGTGGGAGCGGAAAATACGTTCCTCTCTCTCTCTCTCTCCTACGCGCAAAATGTGGTTTAGGCGGAATTGGCAAGTTTTACTTCGCTGTGAGGAGACCATTTTCTAGTTGGCAGTAGTCGCATTTAACTATCAGATATCATTCATCAGATGTTTAACATTGTCAACACTCATTTTATAACATGAAAAGTAATTGAAATAGCCATTTACATAGCATAAAACGTTATGAAGGGTTCGAGAATTCTCTCAATATTATATGGGGTGTATATCGGAACCCCTCTCCCAGAAATGAGAGAAAATATTATTGCAAAGAGGACTTACAGAATCACTTTCCCGTGCCAGATCTTAATTAATTTCAAAAGTGCCATGGCTCACAATAATACATACATGGACTTCGTGAATTTGTGAGTTTTACACGCTAACGTGGTCTATAGTACACTATGTTTTAATTTTCACATAACTATATACACATTAGCAAACTTTATTAATACCGAAAGTGATTAGTAAAGTTAAGACCTAATACCATACACTCATTAACTACTTGCACTATTTGCCCCATCCTGACAGTTTCTTCTCAATATTTTCTACACCTTACAAAGATTACACTTCCTCCTATACAAGACTTCCCGTAAAATGTCCCATTGACTATATAACAGATTTATTTCAATAATCTCCACTTCTCATTAGCATTATCGACCAAACATAAAATTTGACTTTCGATATTAAAATTGACATTTTTAGTGTTGATTTACAAATAAGTATTAGTAGTGAATTCTACCTAAATGTAATGTCTTCACATGACTTTGAAATGTACCACATGTATTTGTGAGTTTGTGGTAATGTTGGAGTATAGATAGACATATGTGCTAATGTACAGTCATAATATGGTAGTTTTTTCACTGTGGTGTCTCCAGTTGATCATTAAATTTATCTGGTACTATACACCTCAGTTGAAGACCCAAGGTTCATGTGGTGGTTCCAATTATCATTGAACATCCTGTGTCATTTGGCAAGAAGTTTACAATTTCCTCCAAGTTGCTCTGTATGAAATGTGATGGACCATTCTTAAAATGTTTTGTAAGCTGGTCACCAGCTATAATAATTTAATGTTACTCTTTGCTTTACATATTCCAAAGATACAGAGTACACAATTCGCCTAATATTGAAAGCAACACTCTTGGATGTTGAAGATGCTTCATTAATTTGGTTTCATTTCCTCATGATATGTGATTGTTTCTGAGGAAGCAATCAATGGCAACTTACTACATTTCCTGTATATATATAATTATCCATCTATGTACAAGTGTATTATAGCCAACCTTCATGTAATTGTAAGGTTAGAGGAGTGTTTTTACAGCTAGTTGGACTAATGCAACCATGGAATTGTGTTGTTATGTACCTATACAGTTAGCTGGATTAGAACAATCACAGAATCATCATCTTATCTACTTATACAGCTAGCTGGATTAGAACAATCATGGAATTGTTACATTATCTACCTACGCAGTTAGCTGGACTAGAACAATCACGGAATCATCATCTTATCTACTTATACAGCTAGCTGGATTAGAACAATCATGGCATTGTTACATTATCTACCTATACAGCTAGCTGGATTAGAACAATCATGGCATTGTTACATTGTCTACTTATACAGCTAGCTGGATTAGAACAATCATCGAACTGTTATTTTCTTATACAGCCATGAATGTATTTTTTAAATAATTTTTCAAACAGTAACGTACAACATAGAAGCAAATGTAGCAGGGAAGCAAAGTAGGTAGAGATTGAAAGAATCAATGACAATAGAAACAATAAAAAAAACAACAATAATTTGAATTTAACAAATTTAATAAACAAAATATACAAATGCTTTATGGCTGCTATGATTTTTATGGGATCTACAAACATTCTTTTCGAATAATGAACAGGTAAAATTTACAGATAATTTTATTTGTTTTATGAAAGGAATTATGAAATGATGCCTTTTGGAATATAACAAGGTAACATCAAGAATATAAATGTTCCTCGGTGTTACTATTAAAATCTGCACGAAACTGATGTTGAAAATTTTAGCCTAGATATAATCCATAGAGTCTCATGTGTATACTCCTTGGTACCCTGTCCTCTTGTATTTCAATGATTGTCAGTTAATTAGTCCTCCCAAATATGAGGTCACTGCTGCTTGTGTCCACATCACAGGATCAGGTTCATTGACATCACTAGCTACTCGATGTTTCTTCTACAGGAAAAGAAACTAGATTAAATTCACATTTTAATCTACTTCAATACTTAATCTGCAAAAAAGGTAATATCTTCACAACTTATTCATGTAAACAATCTAAAAGTAATATAAAGATATATCTCATTTTGTTTTTATCTTTTATTTTTTCATTGTAATTTTGATAATGATACGTTTCGTGCTTGTCTGTTGATAGGTGTCGTGTCTGTCATTGGTATGTTGGTCGGTTAGTGTCATGTCTATTGTGTGTATGTCAGTCAGTAGGTATCGTGTCTGTCGTTAGTAAGTTGGTCGGTAGGTGTCGTGTAATTCGTCGGTCAGTCGGTCGGCAGACGTCGAGTCCGTAGTCGGTCAGTCGGTCGGAAGGCGTCGTGTCCGTCATCTGTCAGTCAGTCGGGAGGCGTCGGTGGCGCAGTGTTAACGCACTCGCCTTTCACCAAGCCGACCGGGGTTCGATTCCCGGAACGGACGTGAAAGGTAAGGGGCCACCTGCCGGACCACGTGGGTTTTCCCCGGGTACTCCGGTTTCCTCCCACAATAAGACCCCTCGCGCGCTTACATCCGGGCCAACAAGAGTGATTAGTATAAGTTGACATAACTTGTTTCGCAATTGTTGTAAAATAAATAAAGTTTATAATAGTCGGGAGGCGTCGAGTCCATCGTCGGTCAGTCGGTCGGTAGGCGTCGAGTCCGTAGTCGGTCAGTCGGTCGGTAGGCGTCGTGTCCGTAGTCGGTCGGTAGATGTCGTGTCCGTCGTCAGTCATTCGTTTGGTAGGCGTCGAGTCCGTCGTCGGTCTGTCGGTCGGTAGGCGTCGAGTCCGTCGTCAGTCAGTCGGTCGGTAGTCGTCGTGTCCGTCGTCGGTCAGTCGGTCGGTAGGAGTCGAATCTGTCGTCGGTCAATCGGTCGGTAGTCGTCGAGTCCGTCGTCGGTCAGTCGGTCGGTAGGCGTCCAGTCCGTCGTCGGTCAGTCGGTCGGTAGGCGTCGTGTCCGTCGTCGGTCAGTCGGTCGGTAGGCGTCGAGTCCGTCGTCGGTCAGTCGGTCAGTAGGCGTCGAGTCCGTCGTCGGTCAGTCGGTCGGTAGGCGTCGTGTCCGTCGTCGGTCAGTCGGTCGGTAGGCGTCGAGTCCGTCGTCGGTCAGTCGGTCGGTAGGCGTCGAGTCCGTCGTCGGTCAGTCGGTCGGTAGGCGTCGTGTCCGTCGTCGGTCAGTTGGTCGGTAGGCATCGTGTCAGTTGTCTGTTCGTAGGTCGGATTGTGTCGCGTAATTCGTCTGTAGGTATGGCTGGCACCTACTGACCAATGATGCATAGGTCGGTAGGTGTTGTGTCAGTCATTAATAGGTAGGACGGCTGGTGTCCTGTCAGTCGTTGGTACGTAGGTCAGACACCTACTGACCAATGTTACATAGGTCGGTTGTTGTCGTTTCAGTCGTCAGTACGTAGGTCAGACACCTACTGACCAAGGGTACGTAGGTCGGTAGGTGTCTGTCGTCGGTAAGTCTGTTGGTAGGTGTCATGTCAGTCCTCTGTATGTAGGTCTGTAGTTGTCGTGTCAGTTTTCGGTGCGTAGGTATGTAGGTGTCGTGTCAGTTTTCGGTACGTAGGTCGGTAGTTGTCGTGTCTGTCGTCGATACGTAGGTCGG